AGAGAGAGAGAGAGAGAGAGAGAGAGAGAGAGAGAGAGAGAAGCTGAGAGAGTGCGTTGGAGAGACAATGAGAGAGCAAGGCAGTGTGAGTGTGTGTGTACATGTGTGTGGAGGGGAGGGGGATAGATTTTTCATGCAAGTCTCAAGGTTGCAGTGGGCTGACTCTCCCCCTAAGTCCCTAATCAAGGCCCATCATCTGTCATCCTTTTCTTTGCTCTCTCTATCACCATGCTCTGTGCTGCAATCAATTCATCATCACCCTTTGTGTGCCACTGAACAGTTGACAACTTTATAACTTGCAGCTGCACGGGCTGACTGACAGGGGTGGAAGGGGAGCATGAAAAAAAATGAAGAAATGAATAGATGAATGAATGAACAAAGAAGCGCGGTTTCAGGGAGAAAAAGTTGTTTTCTAAAAACACAAAACGATCTATATTACAGCCCTTTATTCCCTTTCGTCAACAGAGAAACAGCAGTGTAGCAGGGAGGAGAGAGGAGGAGATGAAGGAAAAAACATCCTTCTCACTGATCTGAAATCAGAAAGCTTTCAGTCATTCTTTATGTGCTCCCCGCGGCCACTCTGAGCCAGTGAGCATGTACATTAGGCTGGGGCATTTTGATGAAATAAAAGCCCAGGCCAGCTTATGGCTAAACAGAATGGGAGCACTCACTCAGCCTGTCTCTGATTGACCATTAAAGCCATTGATGAATGGGCCTGTCAGGGGAGAGACAATTAAATCAAACATGAAACAAAGCCGTTGTGACGGCCCGGTCTGACAGAGCAAACCCATTCCTCCCCTCCATTACATAGCACACGGCTCCTTTTACAACCTCTAACCCACTCCTCCCGCCTCCTCTACCCACTGTGTGTGTGTGTGTGTGTGTGTGTGTATGTGTGTGTTCAAAGTGAACAAGTGAGCACGTGCACATGGGAGTGTGATGTTCTCTGCTGGAAGTGTGTGTGTGTCTGTTTGTGTGTGTGATGTTTCACTGTGAAACCACTTTGTCCCCCCTTCTTTCACTTTTTCGTGAGTCAGTTGACCATCAGAGAGAGAAGAGACAGAGAGAGAGAGAGAGACATAGAGAGAGAGAGAGAGAGAGACATAGAGAGAGAGACATAGAGAGCGAGAGAGAGAGACATAGAGAGCGAGAGAGAGAGAGAGAGAGACATAGAGAGCGAGAGAGACTGATTGAGTGCGAGTGTATGTGAGAGGGTAAAAAAAGTACACAGGGCCTTTCAAAGTGGTTCAAACGTGACGTCAGCGGCCTGCAGCACATGGTGGGAAGTGATTTTCTGATGCAAATCGGGAAGGATCAGATCAAAGCCGCATGACAGCCAATCAATCAACCGTCAAATCAGACATGGCAACTGTCGATTATGGCTCCTTCCAGCCCACGAAACCCCATTGTCTCTCTCAAATTGTTTATCTTATCCCAAGAAAAGGACAAAAAATAAAAAAATAAATCAGAGGTAGGGCTTTTTTCCCCCAGCTTGTGCAAAGAAGTTATGCGCTGGGATCAAATGCGCACAAAGCCCCTATGGCCCCCTTATGGCACGCCTCGGGCACTCACCATCAACAAAACACTGCTTATCTCCTCCGGGGTTTGCCTACTCGTTACGGATCAAACGGAGAAGGCAGTTGGGATCGGTAAAGTGACAGGGATTCAAGTTGGGAACAATAGGAAGCGAAAGTTTACAGCAGGCAACTCGCCCGTCGGGACTACAGTAGCTCCTCAGCGTGCGGAGCGAAAACGCAGGATCACAGAGATTGTTGTACAGAAACTGTACATCCGCTTTCATAAAAGGAACAGTTTATATGAGGTCGCACAAGAATAGCCAAGAGACTGACAAAGCGGATCGTTAGAGAGCAAAAAAAAAAAAAAAAAAAAAAAAGAAGACAAAGTGGAAACGGAAATGCAGTGACTATAAAGTGAGCTCTACAAAACAAAGGTAACATCCGCAGTTTTCACATAGTAAACCATTACAATTGGATACACATACCTGCTGCGCGCTTGGGCGCTTCTTGTTTCCTCCGTGGCATTTTTTTATGTCAAGGGGATTTCCGTGGAACTCTTCTTTTTCTTATTTATTATAGCCCCTCGCCGTATCCGGGAAGATCCACCTCTACTCAAAAAAGATTCACGCCTTCGTGCAGCAGACTGCACAACATCGGGGAGTCCGATGGAGAGGGAAACTAAAAATCATCGTTACGGAATAGCAGGCTGCAGGAAAAGTCGGCGAAAAAAATAAAGAATAGATAAACGAGGTGGAGGAACGTATATATTTTTCTGCGTGTGCGTTTGATCGCGTTGAGAATGTCAGCGGTGATAGCCAGCGTCCACCTCGGCTGCCTGGTCTGGCAACAGGCAAAGTTGAGGGATAAGAGAGATGATCGCGTCACTCACAGCAGGAGAATGGGCAAACCCACCGCTCCGTTAACTCTTTACTTCTCAGAGAGGGGCGGACACCACGCGCGAGTGTCCTCCCACCTCTGCGTTTCATGTGAATCACAGCGCATGAGCTGTTAGTTGATTGTTACAACACAGCAGGCTGATAATTACCAACAAAACCACTAACCGTCCGAGTAACATTCCAATAAAGTCCCCAGGTATGTGTCATCGTAACTGGATTTAACCGTTTTAATCTGTCACAGTAATGTTTGTATAGAACATATTCTATAGATGTTATTATTATTATTATTACTATACTTCTGTTCCTATATTCTATTGAAATGTAGGACTTTATAATAATATAATATAATTATTATTTCTAATTGTTATTATTGACCTTGAAAAATCTTTTTAGTGATTATAATTGACAATTGACAAAACACATGTGTTACAAGCTTTGCGTCAATATGCGAAACACACTCATCCACTAATCATATTGTATTAAATGTCACCCATTTCCAAAGCTTTTGTTCAAGTTCATGATACGAATTAGATTTGATTCGTGCAATAACAAATAGCATTTTAAGGCAGTATTTATTACAGATCGCTGTGTAGTTTGATGTTATAAATGTAAAACGTTTTTTTTATATTTGATTTTTAACAGTTGATCATATCATATATTACACACAGTAACTGCAGTTTAGCATTTAACCAGAAATTGCAAACAGTAGCAAATGTCCATATAGATATATTAAAAAAATATGGAATGAACAGTAAACCAGTGGGATATTATCAGAAATAGGGGACGTTTTTTGATATATAAGTAAACTAAATAATAGAAAATGTGCAGTAGGATATGTCAGCTATGTAACTATTACAGTATGGACAAAACCCAAACAATAGTAGCCTACAATGAAATGAGTTTAATTAGATTTATAATATGTACATGTAAAAAAAGACAAAGTGTAAAGTAAAAATGGAGTTAAATAAAATAACTTTTAACAGCCTACAGTAAATAAAAGGAAGTGCTAATACAGAAGGCAATGAGCCCTGGAATGGCCTTTATGTATGTTGCTTCAGTCAGTTTTGTAATTGTATTTCTTTTAAAAGAAAACACGCTCACATAGTCTATATATCTTATAACTAGTGCAAAAATCTGTTAAGCAACCCCTCACTTCCCTCAAAATGCAAACATGCCTGAGGCCCTGTCCTCGCTAATTTAATGTGAGCCGTTAAATGTTAGCTTTCATCACAGTAAAAGCATCACGTCTCACATATATCCACATTAGGTAGAGATCAAAGCCAGTTCAAGGAAGGAGCGTTAAGTCTTAGTGCCAAGGTAATGAGGTTTTTTTTTTTCCAACACTCGTCTTGCTTTTTTCTCGAGCCAGCAGTATCTCTGCTGAGTGGGATGGTCCCGGGTCACCCTCTGTGCCTCTGATGTGTTCTGACCCCTGCCAGCAAAAAGACGCATACAAATACCAAAACATGCTGCGTGTGGGTGCTCAATGCTGCACACCTATTGTATGCACGCACACACACACACACACACACACACAGTAGAAAGTGTTCAGAGTCAAGGATCCGCCTGCTCACTCTTTCAGATACAAATCTAAAACCTTATGCACACACAAATGGAAACAGATGCACTCCTTCTTTCTCTTTCTTCCTCTCATGCACATACACACACACACACACACACACACACACACACACACACAAGCAACCACACTCAGAGAACAAGAATTAAAGACCTCTCTGATCAGGGCTCGCCCCCGCCTCCCCGTCTCTAAGAGCACAGAGGCTGGGTCTCTGTCACTTTAACAACATGAAATTACAACCCAAATGGGATGTCAGGGGTTAGCAGTGTCTCTAAGAGAACTATGTGAATATATTTCCTCCTATGGACTTGCCCCTATCATGACCTCCCCCAGGAACAAGAAGTAGTCCGGTGATTGACGTTTTTACAGCCAAATTAAACCGTCTTGCAGGCTGCTGGAGGCAGGAGAAGAAAGCAGCCGTTCCAAAATTAGTGAGCCATCATCATGACAGAAAGTAGCGGGGACATGGTGTCATCCAGCTACTGTATCGATTAACCCATAAATAGTATATGGCCTCTACACAGTGGCTCTCCCAGGCTTACACTGTAAATGGAAGTTATCTCAGCTGTGCATCTGTCTTGCTTTGCTCTGTGCATTAAAACTGTGATATCCAGAGACAGCAACCTGGTTGGATGTTTAGGGCATCACGAGAAAGAGGACAATATGCAGATAATTAGTGACATTTAAATTGTATCTTGGATGTTTTTTGGGCTTTACCATTATTGTGCTGATGAAAGTGTTAAACTGTTTTAGGAAATGCAATTTGATCAAAATAAGTGTGGGTACTTTTAAAAATAGAAGTACTATATACAGTATGATTCTCTCTCATGTCAGGTAGCCCCGTTGTATTATTCCCTTTTTCCTGCTCTTGACACCAGGATTATCATAAAAGAGGAGCGTCTGTCACGCCGGCACTGATTTGCACACAGGTTCTCCCAATCAATCTCAAAGTTGCGATTAGAAAGCACGAGCTGCCTCTATTTTTCCATTGAAATCTCTTGGCAAAAAAAAAAAAAGGGAGAGTCCTTTCAATTTCATAGCTTCCAGAACACTCAAGTATTCATTGCGCTCTACTTTTCGCTTTCAACCTCTCTGCGGGAGGCAGGACTCATGACATCTATGTATGCTGCTCCTATTCACAATGCTATTCAGCTTTCAGATGTGTGCTGTAAGCGATCCCTCAACACCATGAGATCGCTCTCATTGGCACCATGGGCCATGTCCAGAAAGGCAGCACAGTGCAGCGTCACGCCGCAAACTGACAGTTCTGTTCTCGAGGACGAGTCCCATTCAGCAGCGCTTTGTCCAATCGAAGGGCCGCTCTTCTATAAGGTGGCAAAGTTTTGGCTGCTATTTCAAAAAAAAAAAAAAAATGCTTCTAAACAAAACTTAAACGGCAGCAAACACATACAACCGTTTGTCTGTGTGTGTGTGTTTTGTTGTCTCATCTGTGTATTCATGTGGGTACGTTCATGTGTGGGTGTGTGTGTGTGTGTATAATGCATGGCCCTGTTGAGAAGAGTGATTGCTTTATTCCTGCCATGTAGGTGCTATGGGGGCCAGGGCTGTGTCTTTGGGCAGCTGTATGGATGGCTTGAGGAGGTCTCCATCATTCATAAAGCACACTCCTACATGTAGAATTGATCTAGCAAAGAAACAAGGTGGCAATAGCAGTTCATCAGTCTTCCCCGACCACAAATCACTCGGAGGTGTCTCCCCGGGGGAGAGGTGACACCATTGTCAGTGTGGCGGTTCCCTCGGACAACAGAAGGGGGCAGGGCAGGAACTCTCGCTCATACGGTGGCCCCAAAGTGTCCAGTGAAATGTGAACAGCATTTGAGTAAATATGCTGCATCCATAGTGAAGCTCAAACAATGTCTGCACTATAAATAATATGCAGGGAAAGACCATTACAAGTACTTTGGCTGACAATGCAGCTAAACCAAGCCATAAAAATAAATAACAGTCTTGTTCTATTATCTGTTTGAATACACGTTTTCATAATTTATCGTCACTGTTTAGTGCATAGAATAGATGTATTAGAGGAAAGATATGATTCAAAAGGAGAAATAGGCACAATTGCTGTATTAACTCTCATTTTTCACAAATCTGATTAATTTTTGAAAATGCACCTAGACGCCAGGCACTGAAGTCAAACAGGTTTTATAAAGGATGCATAATTAAAGCTACCTTTACTCATAGTGTTTAATATATGCATCTCTGCGTATTAATAACCCGGGTCATTAATTTATATAACTCAGCTATGTATGGCACCGAGTAATTTCCACTCCTGTAAAGAGAATTGGTGAGATGAAGCTCTTGCCTTTGGCCTTGGGTTGCACATTACACTCATCTTACATTAGGGCACATGCTTCTCCTGTTCCTCCTCCTCCTCCTCCTGCTCCTCCTCATACCAATTGGAGTCTGTCATTGATCTTCATTCTAAAATAATCTCTTATCATTTCTCATTGTGAGCCTGCAGAAAAACCTTTTCCAGATCCCAATTCATTAGCTTCACACTGGAAATAGAAAAAGCTTGTGGAAAGGTGGACATGTGATGAAGGCTCAAAGTAAGCACCTTTAAAATATGTCCGCCAATCCACCTTAAACACTCATGATCTTTCTTTAAGCTTTTGACATGCTACAATATTTCTCTTCTGGGCCATTTGTGCCCTTAAGCATGAACTACCCATTGTAAAAAAAACAACACTTTTCTGCTCTAAGGTTGTCACTCTCCTCTAGTTTTCAACCCTTTCCCTCTGTTATCAAGCCGTATAGTTCAGATTTCAGTTCATGTCTTCATTAAAAAACATTAACATTCACAAACTGAATGGGTCGGGCGTTGAAAAGGTCTCCTTAACATTTCCCACTGCTTCTCCCCAGACAGCCAACAAGCAACTCCTTCTCAGTCATTGTCCAGACGGGAGGGGAGAGGAGAGGAAATGTGTGAGACGATTTTTTTTTTTTTGTAATATAATTTTGTGGTAAATTATTATGAAGAATCTGATAAGGTTCATCCTTTAGGGGAGGTAGATGAGTCCACGCCGTTCCAATTAGCACACTTCTGATTGTAGAGGCAGAACTCAGACGATTGATCAAGTCTGTCTCTCTTCTTCTCTTTCTCCGCTTCATTGCCCAAAAGAGCCTTTTAAAATATTCAGGTAGATTATGAATTGTTACACCCATATCTATTTATATCTCCTTATTGACAGTATTACATTTATATGGAGTCAAGGTGAGGGATTTAATTTAAGACTCTTGCAGAACTGCTGAGAATATTTAGAAGACTGATTAAAGGACCAATGATTTATATGATGAACACGTTTTATGGTGGAAAAGTTTAACGCAGGATAACTCTATTATGGATTTGCTGCGTTTTGCTGGTATTTGCCATTCTGAGCAA